TATATATATATATATATTACATTTAAATATGTTTTTAGTTTTTGTAAAATTAGTGAGTTTTGATTTTAGTCTTTGTAAAATATTTTCTTTATTTTTATCCTAAAACTTATAAATATTATTTTTTGTCTTGGTAAAATGAATAAATTTTGGTTTTGATCCCTGTAAAATATTTTCTTTTAATTTTCATCTTCTAAATATAAAAGTCACTATTTTTTATTCCTATCGGTCATTTTAGGATTGATAGATAACAACTATTTTAAAGATATGTGTGAATTTTTCGGTGTCAAAAACTAATACGATATCATTAACAATTATAGATAATGTTTGAAACAATCATTTTAAATTTTAATAAACAAAAAGTAGTTAAAAATAATAACACACGAGACAAAATGATAGTTTATATTTTAGAGGGGGTGAAAAACAAAATTTCAGGGGCTAAAATCAAAACTAACTAGTTTTGCTTAAACTAAAAATATATTTAAACTCTTTTTTACTCGTAAAATTAGTATATATATATAATTAAAATTATAATTATTTTTTAAATGTTTAATATGTAAAGTAATTATAATATTAAAAATATTTAATAATTTAAAAAATAATTTTGAATATTTTTAATAATTGATAACATTTTAGTATTTTGCTCCCATTTTGCTCTAATGATCACATTACTAGATTTTTTTTAATTGAATGTAAGGGACTTAAGTAAGGATGATAATGAGGAGGGTCTTATAGTATTCGTTCTCATATTTGTGTTTAAAAACAATACTCGTACCCAGTTTCATATTCGCATAGGTAACAATTTTAATCCTCATCCTCATACCTACTGGGTACTTGTGTATTCATCCTTGCACTTGCGATCCGCATCTTACTTATGTATAAAGTAAATAAATCAATAAAGAGATAACATTTTACACAAGTAAACACAATATTAATTTGTCAGATTTTTCAACATTACAAATATCTAACATAACAATTCTTATAAATAAAGATTACAAAACATTCAATTATCATAAATAAAATTTTAAAATAATTCAACATAATAAAAGTTATAATTAAACTTCCAATATCATGATCATGTGTTAACAATATTCTCTTAGACTTGTGAAAAAAATTATATAAAAATTAGTTAAATTAAAATTATAGATCAAACTATATAGTATAAATTTTAAAAAATAAATATATAGACATTTAACCTCTTCATTGGAATCAACTTCTCTATATTTTTACAAACTTTAAACCCTTATTAGTGAGAGTTGAAATGAAATCATAGCATGATTTACAATGCCCTTAACTAATAATTCGTTAACAAGTGAGATAATCACATACAAACACATTGATTTGTTGAGACTAACAACAGTCTTCGAATAATACAACACAAATACGGCATCACCAATTCATACATTCTCTAATTCTATTCCATCACCTTTGCTGAAGTTGGAATAGAAAACTTTCCTAAAATAAAACAAAATAATTTTTTATTAGCATATAAAATAAAACATATGTGAGAATATTTGGGAACCTTTAAATCTAACAATTAGTAGCCCCAATGTAGTGTTATATAAAGTTACAATTGAGGAGTCTTCCAACAATTAGTAGTCTCCAATGTGGTGGTGAGGCAACGACATGATGCAGTGATAAGAAGTGGCAAGGTGGAAACATGAGGCAGAGATGTGATCGATGATACAAGGTGAAGATTGGAGTAGTGATGCAAGGCGAAGACACAAGCAGCAATGTGAGGAGGAGACGTGAGCAACAACGATGCGAGGTAGATGATGGAGGTGACACAAGGATATTGTAAGTGGTGGTTATTCTTCTTTTTTTTTAACAATTTAATAAGTCATTTATCATGTAATTACCGATTCCTATTTCTTTTAGTAGTACTATTAGTTCGTTAAATTAAAATAATGTTTTAATTTCCACAATGTGAAAACTTATCAAGTCAACAACTTTCACAATATTGTAAGTGAAATTCATCTCTAATCCAATGAGTTAGAAAATATCCAAGGTGATAGAAAATATCTCTAACTCAATTTTATAAAATTAATTTATAAGGTGATAGTTATTTCTACTTAACTTTTTGTCTGTCTTGTCTCTAATCAATGTGACTTAAATTTCTTCCTATACACTCCTTCACATCGAAGACTATTGGACTTATCCATAGATAAATGATAATGACTTTTTTTAATGATTTAAAATAGGTAGAACTTGATTTTTTCACAATACATACATTTATGTAATTATCTTCAGTGATATTTTAAAAAATTATTAAACTCATGTTAATACACACAAACATATAATGTAATTTAGTTGATATTTTTTCTTCTAACATTTTTAGTACAATATGGGAAATGACTTTTGTGAATGAAATGCAAGAAATTTGATAAGAATTTATTAGATAAATGACAGAAAGTACTTGAAAACAAATTAACAAATGAGAAAATATTTGGTTGCGGATGTACAAACTCGACTAAAAACAATATGCATATGTAACTTACTTAAAACAAATGGTTAACTTGCTTTCTTTTGTTTTCACCAATTTTAAGGTCTATTTGAATTCATCATTTTCTATTTTCATTTTCAAAGAAAATAGAAAAGAAGCACGAGAATGTTTACTTTTAGTTTTAAAAAATATTTTCTTTAAAAATATTTTCAAAAGAGGTCCAAAATTAAAAATTAATAAATATCATTTTTATTACTTTCTACCTTTTTAAAACACGATGACATATAATACATATTAAAAAAATTTACAAAATTACTTCTAAGTTTGCAGCCACACACATAATTCAATGAATCATTCTTATAATTTTATTTTTGTTTGCAAAAATTTTGTTTGGTGTTTATATATATATATATTATAAGATTTATTATATATAATTGTTCTATAAAATTTTAATTAAATGTGTTTATATTATTTAATAATTTTAATTAAACATTATTTATTAAATATGATTAATACTTAGTGTGATTAAATTTTGGTTGATATATTTTAAAATAAGTAGTATTAAATAAATATATATATATATATATATTGTTTATAAAGATAAAATATATATTATTTATTTTAATACACAATTACTGCTAGTTAAATAATAAATTGTTCATTTGATTAAAAAAAATATAAGGGACATTTACACATTTTCACAGTGAAATCCACTATTATAAGAAAAAATGTATTCAAATAAGAATAAATATAAGATAAAGTGGAAAGAATGAAATATTTACAAAATAAAATATTATTCTAATTCATATATAGAGATAGTAATTTTGATAGTAAATTTTATATAACAAAAACGTTTCATGAAATTTTATTGAAAATAGTCAAATCTAACATGTTTTCTAAATTTTAAAACTAAAAAATGAAGAAAAAAAAATTCTGAAACCAAACACACCTTTAAGGTTTTTTTTTTTAAGGTAAACAAACTATACAGAATGGGTGCATGTGGAGAAAGAAGGTAATGATGAGTGAGATGCAGCAAGAGGAAACTATAGCGATTCCCATTTAGAGCAAGGAAACAACAAGTCCTATTTCACGGATTATTTAAAAAGATAACTTAGCATGCCTTGGCATGTTAAAGCATCAATCCTAACTACCCATTTTCTCACATTCCCCAATGGTTCTCCAGTCAACAAGTCAACTTTACAGGTTGAAGCTCCCTCTCTCTTAGTCAACACAAAGACTACTTTTCATATTTAGCAATAGCAATTGAGGCAACTAATTTTCTCTACACTTCATGAAGAAGAAGAAGAAGCAGAAACCTCACCTCACCAGGGCAGGAATACATGCTTCCACTAGAGACGAGACAACACCACTACATTCATAAACCACTTCCTTTCTCTCTTTTTTCATTCATTTTTTTTTTACATAAACATATAAGAAAACTTAGGATTTGATCTTTTTTATCACAGTAGATCAAAAGGTGCATTCAGTTAGAAGCCCATTCAAAGTAATGGCAGCGAGCACCTCTAGTTGCAGTCCAGTTTCCACATCCAAAGAAAAGGCTTCCTTGCTTGGGACCTGGCTTCCTCACCATGCCCCTGCTACTTTTCACCCCACAGTAACAGAAAGGGTGATACTGAACCATAGGGGTACTCATATCCTTTGCTTTGTATGGGCAATGAGGGAAAACGATTGGCTGTTCAGGAGACTGCTTCCACATCAGAGGTCGATCAACTCCCTGCCACATGGTACTGGTAATGGAAAATTTAAAACCTCGGTGCATGAGCAGCGCCAACAGCCGAGCAGTATTTTTCGCATCATCAAGGCCACAATGTGCGCGACCCTGCCAGACCAAGCCAGCTATCTCAACAGCTTCCTTTAGATTGCACCTCATAGCACCAAATACCTCACGGAAAGGAACCCTCAAGTTGATCCAGCTAACACAAGTTAAGAAAGTAAACAAATGTCAGATCAGATGAAACTAAATCCTGATATACATACATATACATCATGTCATCATTTCTATGCTGCAGCATTTACCGGTCAAAATAAGGAGGCTTCCGTATTTTCTTGAATCGGCACTCAGATTCAAGCATCACCCGACAATCCCAGTTAGACCATGTAACAACAGCAAAGTTGGAATTCTTTATCCCCTTCTTCTCGAGCCATTTGTCATGCCTAAGTAGAGCCTCACTCAACGTAACACCTCTGTCCACCTGAAGCATACAGTAAGAAATCTGATTAGCAATCACTTGCAGCAAGAATGAATAGGCGAGTGAATGTAAAAGTCGAGGACCAACAGATAGGTTAGAGGGAAAAGGTATATAAATTTTACAAGGCATCGAGCATTTATATCATTCAATGTCACTTTGAGACATAAGTCACACAACTTGTGTGTCTAAAAAGGGTATTTGAGGATATAAAAATATATTCTGCCATCCTAAATAGAGCTTCTTTGTTTACCCACATGAATTTATTAGATAAACCTCAAAAATAGATACTATTAATCATCCAATCAGACAGTAAAGACACAAACATGCACACAGCTGACATTGAAGATGCAGGGATGCAACACTGTGTAAGAAGCAAAAACAGCATTATATGTCCATACTCAACAAAACCTAGCAAATAAGAGGGGATCAAGAGAACCAACTATAGATATTCTTTTATCACTTTTTATTCCTTCATTTATGGACCCATTAAATATGAATTTCTTTCCAATATCCTTGTTCTGTACCGAATGGCATATATCATGCCTACAGTAGAGGAAATATAGCCCAGGCTTGGATTAATTTATCAGAATCAAATCCACTGTGAAAGATCCAGAATTCAAATTGTTAAAATTAAGGCTAAATTGCACTTGTGACATCTCTATTTTTGTCAATCCCCCAATTTTATAATAAAGACATTTACTTCCTCTAATTTTAAAAATACAAAATTTTGGTTCTCCTATCAAATTGGCAATCCATTGATTGTCAAGTTTTAATGGTTACACATACTTAAGTGATATGACATTAGTAACATAACATTTAGAAATAAAAAACTTTTAAAAAAATACAAAATAAGATTTATTAATAAAATAAATATCAATTACTCATTAAAATAAATACAAACGGCAATATTTTGTTATTTTTAAAGTTTCATTCCTATATGTCACGTCATTAAATATCATATTATTTAAGTGGTGACAAGTCACTGAAAAACGTCAAATTTTAATGGTTAACAAACATCAAATTGATTATAAGACCAAAATTCCGTATTTTTAAAAATAAAGAAACTAAAATTGTAGATTGATAAAAATAGAGAGACCGAAATTACAATTTAAAATGTTAGGTTTAAGTACATATATAACAAGTAGCATTTTCTGTCATTAATTTTTTAATTAATAGGCGTTGGTTCACTCAATCTAGGAAATGACTCCTCGTTGCTAATAAAGCACATAGAATAACTATTTTCAGAATTAAATCATGCACGTGAACAATGAGTAATATCAGTTGTCATTAACTCTTTAAGTAAATACTAATTAGTGATGATTTGCTCTAATCTAAATAATGATGCATATAACAATTAATACTAACATAGTATAAATAGTTCTCTTAATCAACTGATTAGAGAGACAGTTTACCTAAAACCTTTTAATTCTATGATATTAGGAGTCACCCATGGTGCACGCACAAATAAAAACACTACACCAAGACCCTCCAGGTCCTTTCTTTTCATCACTTGCTCCATCAAATTCTGTCCTACTTTACCCCCTTCATTGGAATTGCCCGTAGCATAACACAAAGGTATCACGTAAGCTCTAAACTCTAATCCCCTCCATGCCTCTCAATTCAATTATCATTGTATATCTCCTTCCCAATTATGCGTTTGTGTCCAGACCCAAAACTCCTGGTAAATCCCATCTAAGCTTTCTTACAGATTGACGCACTAGTGGTAATTGGCAACTGTTCCCCTTATTTCTTGGCAAATTGTTGGGTTTTGTTGATGGGTCAAAGTAGGAAAAGTTGGCCACCTGAAATCTGATCTAATGATGATAAGATATGCAAAGATATTCGGGCTCAAATATAGTCAGACTAATTCTCCTATGTCCTATGGCCAAAGTTGTTTCCTTTCATCTCTTCCAAGTTACAATGGCTGCTATTTAATATTCATCAATGGCAACTTCTTGAAGTTAGGCATTAAGGATGCCTTATTACATGGTAAATATTACAAAGAGGTCCATATCATATGCAATAACCAGAGTATTGCTGGGCACATAACACCTGACTTTAATAAGCCAACTAGACTGCTCCCTCTATATATGCACTAAAATCATCTCCCAATGCTCACTGAGGAAGGTTTAGTTCTACCATATAGCAATTCGGCATAATTAAACATGAGCTGATCTTTCTATATTTTTTGACCATTCTTATCTTGTCATTTTGGTTGTTTATATAGACAACATTGTTTATGATACACAAAGATCAAGACAAAATCTAGAACCTTAATCAGCATTTGCTATCAATTTTGCTCAAAAATCACCTCAAATACTTTTGGGGCTCATGTTGCCATCACTCAGAACAAAATATGCTTTTAGACATACTAGAGGGAACAATAAGTTGGATTGTACACCATGTACCTGATGGATCCCATTGTCAAAATCCTACCCGGTATTGCCACTCACATACCCTACTAGATATAGATGTTTTATCAGTAAACTCAACTACCTACATTAAATAGGGGCAATACTTTTGCTCTGAATGTGGTAAGCCAATTTCTGAATATTCCTTGTGATAATTGTTGGAAAACTGTTGTTTGCATTCTAAGATACATCAAGAGAGCACTAGATAAAAGGTTACTTTATGAAAAACAAAGGCAATGCTCAAATAATTGGCTATTTTGATGCTGGATAGATAGTTTTATCATCTAATAGAAAACCAACCATAGTGTAGTGTGTTTTCATTGAAGCTAACTTAATCTAATTGTCAATAGCTCAAATTGGGAGAAGTTAAAGCAAAACAATTGATTTGTGCACACCAATCTGCATTGAACATTTTGTTAGAAAAGAAAAGGTTCTTTCAAGTGAGTTCGCTATTGGTTCTGTCAACTCAAAAAATCAGTTAACTTGTATATTTACTAAATCTTGTAGGCTGAGGGCCTATAGTTGACTTTATTTGTAGAATGAGATATATGCTCCAACTCAGAGGTAGAACGTTAGAATTAAATGTTAGATTAAAAGCACATCTATAATGAGTACTGTTAGTTTAGCTGTCATTACTCGGGTAATTATTTTTGGTTAGCTCTAATCTAGGAAATGATTTCTCTTGTAATTAATAAGTAAAAATTAATATTGTACATTGGATAAATAGTTGCCAGTGGGTTGATTAGATGTAGTTTAACCTCAAACCTTTTTCTAATTCAACCCAAACCAACAACTAATTTGTACACCATGAAAATCTTGCTGTTTTACTACCACTCCAAGCAGACATTATGGTCAACAAGACGAGTATGAGTTGCTATAACAGTTTTTTTCACTTTGCTAAGGGAGTTACCATCTACAAATATCATAGAAACAAGATATTTTACAAGCACACAGCAATATAATTGTTACTTCAATAATAAGGACAAGATGAAAAGTTAAAAATCACCAAAAAATGCACATAATGGTTTGTACTGCTATTTTTGCATAAGTTCATTCTTATAAGTTTAAGAATTTGTCTTAACACACCTGAATTTGCTGGATACCAGTCAGATCCTTGCAGAAATCACTCAGAAGCTGATTGCAGGTGGGCCTCACGTATGTTTGAAAACATGCTTCCAGCTGACCAGTGATGCTACTCACTATAACAGATGGAAACTCAATTATTTCTTGGGGGTAGGGAACTTTATCCTTGTCACAGGTAGCCTCAAAGTCTATCACCACAAAATGCTGAAATTCTTGATATTGCTCGCGAGGGTAACCCTGAGCAACCATATTAATTGGGAGATACTGAAGCTGGTTCTCAACAGGATAAGGATAAAAATGGCTCTCAAAAGCATTCATTTGGCATTGCTGCACCTTGTGAGAGTTAAAATGGCAGGGTGCCCAGGTGCGGTAATTTTGGTGATAAGTAGGCTTGCTGTGAAATTCATTGGGAGGCTCAAGAAACTCACTGCCTAAATGGCAGTTAGGTTCAGTAACATCCCCAGCTGAATGAGTACCAGGCTCACTTTTAAGCTCTGCGAAGCCTTCTGTAGAACTCCCATTACACTGAAAATTGCAAGGGAAACCCTTGCCCTGGAGGCATTTTAAAGATGCCTCACAGTTTATTTGCATATTTTCTGCATAAAAAGAAAGAAAAAGGATCACCATGGGCACAAGCATGAATCTGAAAATTCTAGAAAAAATCTTACATCTAAAAAAACTATTTGCACAAAGATATCCATCCAGCTTTCCCAAAAGAGTGAGTGGACCAAATTGAAACTAAGTATTCGAGAGACGACAACCAACAAATCATATTTTTATCTAATTCGATTTTTATTTACCATAATTATCAACCCTCGTATATTAAACATGAACCTCTATCTTGCGTGAGACCATTTTTGTGATTTTTCTTCAACGAGAGGATTTTTTGATTTCTTATTTAATTCGGTTTTTATTTATCATAATTATTTATGAATTAAAATTTAATATTTTTAAAATAAATTATCAATAAATAAAATTAATATTGCAATACAATATAAATTATTTATATGAAATCTAAAATATAAATTTTAAATATGATTTATATATTCAAACATAATATTTATTTGTATATATAATTTATTATAAATTTTAGTTATGTATAATAGATATTTAGCATGTGTATTGCACATGCTAAAATACTAGTTAATGCATATTTACCAATACTGGAATGCCAACTAATTATACTCAACAAATTATCATGCAAGAACATACATTACCTTAAACAAACAAGGTTTATAATTATACTTATGAACTAAGTTCCAAAATTTTACTCCCCAAGCAGGTATCTCGACAGTGTTCACTCCGGAAACCCGTGCCTTTAACTCTAAAGTCCAAACTTTTCACATGTCAGCTACACAACATCCATCAAACTCAAACCGCTACACCCTCTCACACGCTACCCACTTCCAATCTTCACTCCTATGGCCCTAAGTCCTAACATTCTGAATCTCAACACCTCAGTCACATAAAGGCAAAATCCACCCCTACTTGCATTTCAACCAGTAAATTAAGACCCAAAGCATGTAAAAACCACTCAATCCAAATCCATTTCTCACTCACATTACTCCCAACCACGCAAAACCACCAATCAGACCGAAGTTGAACTTTGAACCACGGCAAAGAAAACAGACAATAATACAGTACTCTCCACAACAAAAATTTCCACAATCAAAAACTAGGCACAAAAAAAAGAGAAAAAAAAACACGATGAAAACAGAAAGATGGGCCCAAGCACAAAAGTGGAAAATCTAGAAAAAATCTTACATCTAAAAAAGAATTTGCACAAAGATATCAAGCTTTCCCAAAAGGAGTGAGTGGATAACTGACTGAAACTATGTATATGAGATATGACAAGCAACAAATCATTTAGTTTTCAACTACTTAAAATACATAATAAATTATCAAAAGATAACTCATGACAGAAAAAGTCTTCTTCATACTCTGCTATCTGAGGTTGACATAAATTAATGCACATTTACCAATACTGGAATGCCAACAAATTATACTAAAAAAATTATCATGCAAGAACATACATTACCTTAACCAAACAAGATTTATAATTTTACTAGTGAACTAAGTTCCAAAATTCTACTCCCCAAGCCGGTATTTCGCCGGTGTTCACTCCGGAAACCTGTGCCTTTAACCCTAAAGTCCAAACTTTTCACATGTCAGATACACAACATTCATCAAACTCAAACCGCTACACCCTCTCACACGCTACCCACTCCACTTCCCTTCTTCACTCCTACGGCCATAAGTCCTAACATTCTGGATCTCAACACCTGAGTCACATAATGGTTAAAAATCCTCCCCTCCTTGCAGTTCAACTAGTAAATTAAGACCCAAAGTAAATAAAAACCGCTCAATCCAAACCCATTTCTCACTCACATTTCTCCCAACCACAAATCAAACCAAAATCAGACAATGACACAGTATTCTCCACAACAAAAATCTCCATAAGCAAAAACTAGGCACAGAAAAGAAAGGGAAAAAAAGCACATGATGAAAACAGAAAGATAGGCCCAAGCATGAATCTTGAAAATCTAGAAAAAATCTTACATCTAAAAAAACTATTTGCACAAAGATAATCAACTTTCCTAAAAGGAGTGAGTGGAAAAAATTGAAACTAAGCATACGAGAGATGACAACCAACAAATCATATATGCAAAACTTAAAAAGTACAATCAATAATCAAAGGATCACTTCGCATGGAAAAAGTCTTGTTCGTACTCTCCTATATGAGGGTGATGTAAAATAATGCACATTAACGAGTACTGGACTGCCAACTATTTATACTCAAAAAAATTATCACCCAAACACATACATTACCTTAACCAAACAAGATTTATAATTTTATTATTGAAGTTCCAAAATTGTACACCCCACACTGGAATCTCGTCGCCGGTTTTCACTCCAGAAAACCACACCTTTAACACAAAAGTCCAAACTTTTCACATGTCAGCTCCACATCATCCATCAAACTCAAACCGCTACACCCTCTCACACTCTACCCACTTCCAATCTTAACTCCTATGGCCCTAAGTCCTAATATTCCAAATCTCAACACCTCAGTCAGATAAAGGCAAAATCCACCCTTCCTAGCAGTTCAAACAGTAAATTAAGACCCAAAACATGTAAAAACCACTCGATCCAAACCAATTCTGACTCACATTTCTCCCAACCACACAAAACCACCAATCAAACCAAAGTTGAACTTTGACACAGCAAAGTAAACAGATATATTTGCACAATCAAAAACTAGGCACACAAAAGAAAGGAAAAAAAACGAACACGATGATAACAGAAAGATGAGCCCAAGCAAGAATCAGGAAAATCTAGAAAAAATTTAACGTCTAAAAAATATATTTGCACAAAGATATCCAGTTTTCCCAAAAGGAGTGAGTGGATAAAATTGACACTGTATATGACAGATGACAACCAACATATCATTTTATGCAAATACTTAAAAATGCACAATCAATAATCAAAGGATCACTTCACACGGAAAAAGTCTTGTTCATACTCTCCTATATGAGGGTGATATAAAATAATGCACATTAACCAATACTGACTGCCAACTATTTATACTCAAACAAATTATCATCCAAGCACATACATTACCTTAACCAAACTAGATTTATAATCTTTTGATGAACTAAGTTCCAAAATTCTACTCCCCATGCTGGTATCTCGCCGGTGTTCACTCCGAAAACCCGTGCCTTTAACTCAAAGTCCAAACTTTTCACATGTCAGCTACACAACATCCATCAAACTCAAACTGCTACACCCTCTCACACGTTACCCACTTCCCATCTTCACTCCTAAGGCCCTAAGTCCTAACCTTCTGAATAGCAACACCTCAGTCACATAAAGGAAAAATCCACCCTTCCTTGCAGTTCAACCAGTAAATTAAGACCCAAAACAAGTAAAAACCGCTCAATCCAAACCCAATTCTCACTCGCTTTACTCCCAACCACACAAAACCACCAATCAAACCAAAATTGAACTTTGAACCACCACAAAGCAAACAGACAATGACACAGTACTCTCCAAAATCAAAAAATAGCCACACAAAAGAAACAAAATAACACACATGTTGAAAACGGAAAGATGGGCCCAAGATCGAATCTGGAAACTGTAGAAAAGATCTTGCATCTAAAAAAATATTTTCACAGACATATCCAGCTGTCCCAAAAAGAGTGAGTGAACAAAATTGAAACTATGTATATGAGAGATGACAACCGACAAACAATTTATTCAAATACTTAAAATGCACAATCAATAACCAAATGACCACTTGGAGAAAGTCTTGTCCATACGCGGGTATCTAAGGTGACCGTAAAATAATGCACATTAACCAATATTGGACTGCCAACTAATTATAATCGAACAAATTATCATCCAAGAACATACATTACCTTAACCAAACAAGATTTATAATCTTTTGATGAACTAAATTCCAAAATTCTACTCCCCATGCTGGTATCACGCCGGTGTTCACTCCGGAAAACTGTGCCTTTAACTCTAAAGTCCAAACTTTTCACATGTCAGCTCCACAACATCCATCAAACTCAAACCGCTACACCCTCTCACACGCTACCCACTTCCAAATGAAGACAAAATCCACCCTTCCCCTTGCAGTTCAACCAGTAAATTAAGACCCAAAACAAGTAAAAACCGCTCAATCCATACCCAATTCTCACTCACATTACTCCCAACCTCACAGAGCCACCGATCAAACAAAAATTGAACTTTGAACCACCGAAAAGCAAACAGACAATGACACAGTACTCTCCACACAAAAAAAAAAAAATCACACAATCAAAAGCCAGACACACGAGGGAAAGAAAGAAAGAAAAATCGCACACGATGAAAGCAGAAGCTAAAACCAAATTAAACCAAAAAGAAACAAAATTGCATGTATCAAAATGAAAACCGAATTAAATTAAAAAAAGGCAATTGGAAGAATCAAAAAGCGAACCTGAATTTTCAAGGGCCATCATGATCGTGAATATAGTTGAGATCCACGAGCGAGTACATCAGATCCTCCTATAAACAAAATCACGGCTGCATCGAAAACAGAAAGGATCAAAACGAGGGAGGAAGGCAGAGAAAGCGTGGGAAAACGGAGGAGAAGAGGGGAGAAAATAAGAAAAGGAAGGATGAGAGAGAAAAAGTAGAGAGAGAAAGAGAGAGAACCTGATTGTAGAGAGAGAGAGGGGTCTGAGTGAAATTACCTATCGGATTTTATATACACGAAAACAAAACTATCTTCTTCTCTTCTCTTTCGTGGGAGAGTGAGTTAAGCATTTCAGGGAGAAGAGTGGGGCCAACGCAACAGTTAAATTATTCTTAAATTCAGATTAAAATATTTCTTATTATATTTTCCCTAAGTCATCTTCTTTTTATTTTCTTTTTCTTTTTTAATTTAAATATTTATTTAAATTAATCAACTCCTAGATATAAAATATAAATAATTACTTTAGGTGAGTATTGAGGATCTTTAAGAGTTTTTTATTTTCGTATTTAATTCAATTTTTATTTATTATAATTATTTAAAAATTATATTTTAATGTTATAAAAAAATAAAATAAATTCTTTTATAAATTTATAATATAATTTATACTAATCTATAAAGAGAATATTCCTTTTAGTAATCACTTTGGTGTGTCTATATATTTTGGACCATTATATTCTTTCATTTTAAAATTTATATTTATACTTATTATAAAAGGAATACATTTTAGTAACCATTCTTTTGGTTTTCACTTTTTAGTAAACCTTTATATTCTTTAATATATAAAAAAAAATCTCATATCTTCTAGAATTTCTAATATTTATTTGTATATATAGAGAGGATGGTTCAAATTAGACCAATATAATGTAAATTTTTTAAAATTTATCACTGGATTGAAAGTTCTTCATTATATATATAAAAATTTATATTAATTCAAAATGATTTGATACATTATTTTTATAAAAATAAAATTGACATAATATATATATTTCAAAATATACTAAATATCCACATTTTGATTATCTTCAAATTATTGTTTAAATTTAACAAAATTTGATATACACATGCAAGGTGATATGGAGTTATAATTCAATAGTTAGATTAATAAAATTCACATTTAATATAAAGTTATTAAATGATCAATCTATAACTATTAATAAAGAGAATACATTTTTAAATAACTACTACTTTGGTCTCCATTTTATTTTTTTTTACTTTTTTATCTATTCGGTTAAACAATAATTTTTTATGGATAAGGGATAGAATGAAAAATATATATATATGAAAAAATGTAACCCACTGTTCAATTGTTCGAGGCACTTCGTGCCTCAACCCCTCTAGTAATTGATAAAAGTTATATGGATATCGTTTAAATCTTCTCTTTCTTTATATATATATAT